TAGTAGTAGTCGTAGTAGTAGTAGTAGTAGTGGTAGTAGTTGTAGTAGTAGTAGTAGTAGTAGTAGTAGTGATGGTAGTAGTAGTAGTAGTAGTAGTAGTAGTAGTAGCAGCAGCAGCAGCAGTAGTAGTAGTAGTAGTAGTAGGAGTAGGGGTAGGAGTAGTAGTAGGAGTAGTAGGAGTAGTCGTAGTCGTAGTCGTAGTCGTAGTCGTGGTAGTCGTGGTAGTCGTGGTAGTCGTGGTAGTGGTGGCAGTAGTGGCAGTAGCAGCAGGAGTAGTAGTAGTAGTAGTAGTCGTCGTCGTCGTCGTCGTCGTCGCCGTCGTAGTAGTAGTAGTAGTAGTAGTAGTAGTAGTAGTAGTGGTGGTAGTGGTAGTAGTCATCGTAGTCGTAGTCGTAGTCGTAGTCGTAGTAGGGTAGTCGTAGGGTTACCCATGCGACTGTGTCTCCTGTCCTTCCGAGTCCTACGTGGGTTGTATTGGGCCTGGTTGGATTGGGGAGTTTGAGTTCCCGCTCTTGCTGTGCTTGCTGCCCGCCCGCCCATTTCGCTCTTTGTCTCGCCCTCGTGAGTGTTGCGTGGGATCCTCTGGGAGCTTGCGCGCCAGAGGGATCGGAAGGGGAGTTGGAGGAGAGGCGATGCCAGGGAGGAGGACGTCGACAATGGGAGATGTAGGCTGCAGGTGTAAGGGAGTTGCGTCAAAGGCCCTTCCAAGTCTCCAGCGTCCTGGGGTGGGGGGGACTTTGTGTCGACTTCGGTCACCTGCCAAGGAGGCGACGAAGATCAACATGTCGCTGAGTGCTCCGGGCTTAAGCGCCCACTGTCCGCAGATCGTCGATCGCCAACGCAGGCTGACTTCATTAGCTTCGAACGGGGCGTTGTGCGTGCTCTGCACTTGCCATGGGAGATGCATTAATTTCGGAGAAAGAGGGAAAGGATGAGGTGGAGGGAGGAGAAGGAGGAGTAGGAAGAGGAAAAGGAATAGGAGGAGGAAGAGGAGGAGGAGGAGGAGGAAGAAGAGGGAGGAGGAGGAGGAGGAGCAAAAAGAGGATGGGCTTCGGACGTCCAATCTCCTCTTTAAGCTGGATGTCGCATGGTCCTTATACGTGCCTGCGCGAAGGAATGCGCTCTCGCTCCTACTTCTGACATCGTCGACATCCGACACCGTCGGGGTGTCTTGCCGCTGTGTACCGATCGTTCACCTGGCTGTGTCTCCTGCTCTGCCCGATGACACACGTTTGGACCACATTCGAAACCTCGGTCAGGCGAATGCCACCAGGCGTTGCACAGCAAAAGGAGCGGCCCCTCAGCCCCTCCTCCTTTTCGCCTGCTCGTCCCTGTTCCCTCCTTGTGTTGCTTCTCATCTTCTGTCCTCTTCCGTTCTTCTCGGCCCTCCCGCGTCATCTCATCCATTACTATTCCTCCCCCCTCTTTCTCACTCTCTCGCTCTCTCTGCTCTCCGTTCTTCTCCTCGCTCCCCCCCTTCACACTCCTTCCTCGTCCCTCATTTCTCCTGTCCCTCCTCCTTGCTCCTCCCTGCTGCTCCCTGCTTCATGATCCCTCCTTCTGATTGATCGGCAGCCGTAGTCGACGATCGTTTGTTGAGACGAGCAGATCGTCATGAGTTGGCTTTCGCATTATTTGTACTACTAGGATTGTGATACGTGGTATGAACGTTCGCATTTCGTTAGCATCATCAGGAGGAGGAGAAGGAGCAGGAGCAGGAGGAGGAATGAGGAATGAGGAGGAGCAGGAGGAGCAGGAGGAGGAAGAGGATGAAAATCAGGGAGGGAGGGAGGGAGGGAGGAGACCGGGGTGGATGGATGGAGGGAGGGGGACGTCCAATCGGCGGGTATGATGAAGCGCCATCTATTCCATTCCTTGCCTTCCGTCAGAACGTCTCCGTCCTTCCGTCAGAACGTCTCCTTGCATTCCAATCGGTTGAACAGAACGTCTCCGTTTCCTTCGTGTCAGTGGTTGCGTGTTCTTGTGATGCAATCCATGAAAGACGAGATTTGTGGATTGCAAAACGCATGGTATAATGTTGCTTTCCTCGTCTATCTTTTCCGCCTCTGTCCAGATCTTAGAGGTGAATGAGGAGCTTGATCAGGCGCACGAGCAGGAGGGGGAGGGGACTCGAGGAAGCGATGAGGAGGGAGGGGGTAGGCACGAGGAGGGGAGGGGGGGAGAAGGAGGAGCGACGCCAGTCCGACCGAGGCCCTAGGAAACGTGATCTCCGCCCTGGTGGACTCGAAGACCAACTTCATTCCGTACCGCGACTCTAAGCTCACGCGGCTGCTGCAAGACTCCCTCGGCGGCAACACCAAGACGGTCGGACGATCCGGCAGAGGATGCCAGGCGGTGGAGCGGGGGAGGCAGAAGCATCAGAAGCTGTGTGAGGCGACGAGGGGGGGGATCACGGATCTCGAAGCGGGGGTGTTCGAGGTGAGGAGCCTCGCACGGACGACAGCGGGTGGACAAGAAGCGCGAGGTGAAGGGAGGCGCGTTCTTCATCACCGGTTGGGGCCGAGGGTGGTAGCCTGGAAGGCCGGCGGTGTCCCTTCAGGGGCACTCTGCTGCAGCCGTCGTTCCTCTTGGTCTGCAGGTCACCCGCGGGGGCGCGAAGGGAACGGCGCTTCGCGCGTGGCGGGCTGGGCCACGGTGCATGCCTTCCTCCCAGGGGGGCGGCGCGAGGGTGCTCCAGGACTCGAAGATGATCGCGGGGCGCGGTGCGCGAAGGTGGGGTACCTGCGGTCCAGACGCTGAAATCAGGACCGCTTTGGGCTCAGGGGGGGCTCGGGTTTTCGGGCCGTTCCGTGAATTCGGGTACCCGGTCGTGGCCCGAAAAGTCCCTTCGTTCTTTGTTCAGTGTCGCGTATGGTAGCGCGATGGCTGTAGTTTGGCGTCCCGCGTTCGTGCCGTGTCGACCCGGCGACCGACCGACCGCATCGTATGCCATGCAAAGTTGAACGCCGCCAGCGGTACTTCGTCCCTCCCACGTTGAATGATCTGCACTTTTGAACAGCCTCGATCGCTCAAGGTTAAACGATCCAGCGGTGCCAGGAACCAACGCCCAAGGCGTCACGACACCAATCTGCCGTATCCTCCCCCGTTTGTGTGCCCCCCGTGAACGTCTACCCGAAGTGTTGTGAATGCGCCTGGCTGGGGCCATGACATCCCCAGATCTCGTGACACCCTCTTTCAGGAGGGCCAAACAAAATGAAAACATGGGAAAACACGGGGAAGCCTGCGATTTGTGTCTGTTCATTTTTGTGTGTCCCTGGACCCATCTGATCTTCTTCTCTCAGCACGCCCCCCTGCCCCCCACGTCCTCGGCGCACACGCCTAGAGGCCACGCAGCACACATATACCCCCCAGTCCTTCCTGCCCCCCCCCCCTCTCCGGCGCACCTGGCTCTCCGGGCCCGCCAGCCCCCCCCCCAGAGTCAGGAGCGAGAGCAGGACGTTGGAGGAGGAGGAGGAGGAGGAGGAGGAGGACGCACCGCGCAGTTTTGAGAGCACGCGCTGCGCGAAAGCTCGTCTCTCGCGCGGCCGGGCCTGCGGACGGGGGGGCCGTGCTCCTGTACTTGCGCGGTGGGGCGCGCACGTCCTCGCCTGCGGGCTCCCCGCGGAGGCTCCCGAGCTGGCCCCACCCGAGCTTTTGGCGCCTCGTCCTGCCGCCCTGCCTTCGGCTCCGGAGCCGCAGAGAGGCAGGCGGCGCGCCGGCAAGGGCCTGGCATCGCTCGGACGTGTTTTCTTTTTTTCCTCGGGGAGGACCTTTGAGGACCATCCTTGATCATTTGGCGGAAAAACACACGCACGAAACAGAAAAAAACACATTGAGTGGACGTCCGAGCGATGGCCAGAGGGAGGGCGGGGGTGGGGGGGGCCATCCTCAGCAGGCACGCGCCTTCCTCATGAGAGCCGCGGTTCGGTCCGGTTCGGTTCGACGTGCGCCTGGTCGGGTTCGGCCAGCTCGGTCCGCGTCGCAGGCATGTTTGGTTCGGCCAGTTCGATTCGGCCAGCCGGTCCGGTTCGGCCTGGTCGGACCCAGGCCATCATGCTTCTTGCAAGGCCCTGGAGGCCTCCCCTCCGCATCTAAGAGGCCTTCCACGAAGCCTCCTGGCCCTTCCAGGAAGGCACCCGCCTTCCAAGTCCAAGAGGCCCCTCTCCGCCTCCGTAGCCTCCTCAGAGGGGCATCCCCTCTCGCGCTATACCCTTGTCAGGGGCAACGATAGGGAGGGAGAGGCATAGGGGGGATGTATCGACCCCCAATCGCCCATTGATCGCGGATAGGGACCCGATATCCCCAACCTGCCTAGGAACGTGCGGTTCCACTATAGGGGGCCTATCGCCGATCTATCGGCGATGCATCGCCGATTCCAGGTCGATGTTTCGCCCCCTGTGCCAGTGCCCCCGTATTGTTGCCCCTCACCTTGGGCGCGACGCCAGAGAGGGCCAGTAGCCTCTCCGAGGTCATGTGCGCCTGCGTCGGGCCCGTGGACTACAACTACGACGAGACCCTGAGCACGCTGAGGCCAGGGGCCCCTCGCGGGGCGGGGGGGAGGCGCAGCGGAGGGGGGATCGGCTGGAGGGAGTTCCTCCCCCTCCTCCTCCTCCTTCTCCTCCTCCTCCTCCCCCTCCTCCTCCTCGTCCCTTCTCCCTCCTCCTCCTCCTTCCTTCTCCCTCCTCCTCCTCCTCCTCCCTTCTCCCTCCTCCTCTTCCTCGTCCTCCTTGTTTCTCTCCTTGTTCTCCTCCTCCTTGTTCCCCTCCTCCTCCTCCTCCTCCTCCTCCTCCTCCTCCTCCTCCTTTCTCTTCCTCCCTTCTCGTATCTTCTCGTGCCCCTCCCCCCTCCTGACCCCGCTCCTCGTCCGATCGCTTCCCCCTTCCCCCCACCCGCGTTTCGTCCTTCTCTCGTGTCCCCTTCCCGTTCCTGGTGAACGCCCCCCTTCAATAGATGGACAATAGATTCGAACCCTTACACATCCGAGGGAGATTCTAAATCATCCCCGCGCCCCCGACATCAATGTTGATCTCAGTAAAGGCGGTGCTCTGGGGTTCGAATATTTCTGTCCATTCACGCCCCCCCCGTTGCCACGCCATCAATATTCATTTCGGGGGGTCTGGGGGGCATCTTGGGCCATATGTTTCGAATATAATGTCCATGTACGGTCCCCCGCCTGTCTGGGCAGTTTCTTTACTTTTTCGAACCGTGGTCGATTGGCTCGAAGAGGCGCAAGACCGTCGCAGTTTCTTTAAGTGCGGTGGATACTGTTCTTCTGAAGTGTTGCTTGGGTGATGCTTTTCGCACTGTTGTTGTTGTCATGTCTCAGGACCTCGTGGCAGAGTGCATACATAGATACGTCCCTGATGGCATGTGAGTTGTATTCTTGGGCGTGGTCGAATGAGCGGATCGGAGGGAAGGAGTTCTTCGCCGTTTTTCGTCATTCTCACCATTCTCGTCGCTCTCTCTTCGGTCCCCTCTCGCTCCATTCCTTACTCCTCTTTCTCTCGGCGGTTCCTTACTCCTCTTACTCCATTCGAATTGTTCCTTCCTCCATGTTTCCTGTTCCCGAATTCTTCCCCATCCTCAGCTCTTCTTGCGGAATCTCTTTCTTGGAGAGCCTCATGGGGCTTTACGAAAGTTTGTCAGGACTTCTTGGGGGCCTTCGGAGGCCTCCTGGGCGCCTCCTGAGGGCCTCTGGAGGCATCCTCGGACCACCCTGCTTCCAACCGCAGTCTCCCTGAACGGCGGGGTCACGATTGGAATGCTTCGAGGGGAGCGTCTTGGGGCCCTCTTGGGCCGGCTTGGGGCTCTCTTCAGGCCATCTTTGAGCCCTGTTCGGCCGCCTGGAACCCTTTCAAGCAGTCGTGAGCCGATTTTCGGGCCTCCTGGGCGGACGCCCACAAGACGGAAGAACAGAGCATTCCCATGTTGTTACGCTTCGAAGGCCTCTTGGGCGTCCTCGTTGGGTCGTCTTCGGGCGTCTGGGGAGTGTCCAGGGCCCCTTGGGGCCCTCGGAGGGCCGTTCGGCTGCCCTCCTGACAGACTGGGGCCCGTTGCCTGGCCCAGGGGCTTCCAGGAGCTCCAGAAAGCCCAGGGGAGCTGCGGGTCGTCCAGGGGGGGCCCCGGAACCACGGATCCGGCGGGTCCCGTTTTGGGGGGGGCGGGGGGGCGGTTCCATTCCCCGGGCTTTCAAGCATATAGGAAGAGGAAAATATAGAGGAATGGGGGGATGGGATAAGGGGAGAAGGAGGAGGGAGGAGGGCGATGAGGGGCAGGGGCCCTACAGGGGGGGGAAGAGGGAGTGGAGGGAGGAGGAGGAAGAGGAGGAGGAGGAGGAGGAGGAGTAGAGTCATCGCGCTTCCTTGTTCTCATGAGTCTCACCTGTTCTTGTGCATGTCGTACCAACTTTACAGCAGTGTAGGCCAATTCAGAGGTCTGGACAGGAAATGCTGCCCACCGAGGCAGACGGGTAAAGAGAACTTGAGCCGTTCCCGCAACGGCCATCATCCCGATGCAGTTGGGGTGGCATGTGATACGTTCAGATGAATGTATGCCATCGCTGTCGTTAGAGGTGATAGCTTTTTATGTGCTGCAGTGCACGTCTGGCTGGAGCTCAGGTGCTCCCTTTTCAGAGGCCTGAGGCGTTGTGGCCAAACGAGAGGAGGGGTAAGAAGAAGAGGAGCAGGAGGATGATGAGTAGAAGTAGGAGGAGGAGTAGGAGGAGGAGGAGGAGGAGGAGGGATGATGATGCTGATGATGATGCTTATGATGATGGTGATGGTGATGGTGATGGTGGTGGTGGTGGTGATGGTGGTGACGATGATGATGATAACGATGCTACTGATGATGGTGTTGTTGATGATGATGATGATGCAGATGCTGATGCTGATGATGATGCTGGTGAGTATGAGTATGAGGTATGAGTGCGATGATGATGATGATGATGATGATGGTGGTGGTGGTGATGATGATGAGTATGATGACGAATCTGAGGATGTCCATGATGCCGCTGATGATGATGCTGATGAGTATGAGTATGAGTATGATGGTGATGATGATGAGTATGACGATGATGATGCTGATGATGATGATAATGCTGATAATGTTGATGATGATGATGATGATGATGATGCTGATGATGCTGCTGCTGCTGATGATGATGACGATGCTTATGATGATGCTGATGCTGATGCTGATGCTGATGCTGATGATGATGCTGCTGCTGATGATGATGCTGATGATGATGATGATGATGCTGCTGCTGCTGCTGCTGATGATGATGATGATGATGATGATGATGATGATGATGATGATGATGATGACGATGATGATGATGATGATGATGATGATGATGATGATGATGGTGGTGGTGGTGGTGGTGGTGGTGGTGGTGATGGTGATGATGTGTGATGAGGAGGAGGAGGAGGAGTAGGAGGAGGAGCAGGAGGAGGAGAGGAGGAGGAGGAGGAGGAGGCGGAGGAGGAGGAGGAGGAGGAGCAGGGAGGAGGCCCCCTCGGCCCACCCCGTCCTGCCCGTGCCGTCGACCGGGCAGGTACGCGTACCGCGCCAAGAACATCAAGAACAAGCCGCGGATCAACGAGGACCCGAAGGACGCGATGATACGGGAGTTCCAGGACGGGCGGCCTGGGGCCGCGGGCGGGCAGCGGAGCGGCGCCTCCCTGCCTCCGCTTACCTCGGGGGTCTGGGGAGGCGCCTCCTGAGAGGAGGGGCGGGAAGGACAAGGAGGAAGAGGCGGAGGAGGAGGAGGAGAAGGACAAGGACGAGGAGGACGAGGAGGAGGCGGAGGAGGAGGCGGAGAAGGACAAGGACGAGGAGGACGAGGAGGAGGCGGAGGAGGAGGAGGAGGGGCAGGGAGCGGAGGAGGGAAGAGGGCGGATCAAAGAGAAGAGAGGCGTGGAAGGAAGAGGCGGAGGAGGAGGATGCCAGAGGAGGTGGAGGAACAGGAGGGGGGCGGAGGAGGAGGAGCACGAGAGGGAGGAGGTTGAAGAGGTGGAGAAGAAGGAATATCATAAGGGGAGGAACAGAGGAATACAGGAATGATGCTGGTGACGATGATGCTGATGCTGACGCTGCTGCTGCTGCTGATGATGATTATTATTATTATGATGCTAATGATGATGGTGATGATGATGCTGATGATGCTGATGCTGACGATGATGATGGTGGTGGTGGTGATCATGGTGATGGCGATGCTGATGATGATGCTGATGCTGGTTATGATGCTGATGGTGATGATGATGGTGGTGATGATGATGCTGCTGCTGATGATGGTGATGGTGATGGTGATGGCGGTGATGGCGATGGTGGTGATGATTATGGTGTTGATGTTGCTGATGCTGATGATGCTGATGATGACGATGGTGATGGTGGTGGTGGTGATGGTGAGGGTGATGATGATGGTGATGGTGATGATGCTGATGGTGATGCTGATGGTAGTGGTGTTGTTGATGAGTATGACAATGCTGAACATAATAATTATGATTGGTGACGATGATGATGATCATGGTGATCATGATGATGTTGATTATTATGCTGATGCTGATGACGATGATAATGATGATGCTGATGATGCCGCTGATGATGATGCGGCTGACGGTGGTGATGATGATGCTGATGAGGAACAGGTTAGTCATGATGACTATGGCCATGGTGATGGCGATGTTAAGGGTGATGATGATCGTGATATTGTTGATTGTGATGCTGATCATGACGATGATGTCGGCGACGACGATGATGCTGCTGACGGCGATGACGATGGTGATGCCGATGACGGCGATGAGGATGATGATATTGTTGCTGATGATGATGGTGCCGATTGGGAACGGAGGAAAAGGAAGAGGAGGAGGAGGAAGAGGAGGAAGAGCAGGAGCAGGAGCAGGAGGAGGACGAGGACGAGGAGGAGGAGGAGGAGGAGGAGGATGAGGACGAGGAGCAGCAGCAGGAGGAGGAATCGGAATCGGAATCAATAATCTGAATTGGAATCATAACAATGACGTAGTCATACACACATGTTTCGCCCCCTGACGACGTAGACGAACAGCGCGACGGAGTACAGGAATGCGAGCATCACTCGATCTGGTCGAACGGGATGTCGGCAAAGAGGACCATGCTCGCGCACACGCACACTACGAGCAGCACCAGACATCACATTTGGTTGCACTCAGGGGAAGCCGTTGGCGGCGGTGGTGGCGGCGGCGCGGCGGGCGCTGTCGCCGCAATCTCAGCGAGGGCCTGCCCGAGCCCGTCCAGCGCGGCTGCGAGACCGCCAGGATCCCCGCCACGGGCAGTAGCCGACAGCGGAAGGGCAGTCATCCCCCGTGGGGGCCCGACAGCGCCCAGCGCCGCACCGCCGAGCGGGGCGTCGGCGTCGCCGAGCAGCCCGAGCCTGCGCCTCGCTGGCCTCCCAGCGCTAGCGGCTGGCCGCTCCGTCCAGCACAGCGTGACGCTGCACGGAAGGCTGCCTACGCCGCCGCGCTTGCATCCCGAGGCGTACGGTCTGCTCGCGTGCATCACTTCGAGGGGGATGAAAGGCGGAGAAGACGGATTCGGCGTCCAGGGCGCCACTGCCGTCTCGACCTCACCCTTGCCCATATCCCATGGCCTCGGTCACTGCGCTCATGAAGACGGTGGCGCCGCATGTGCACAGCATACCGCACCAATGCAGAGCAGGGTCTAAGCCCGACTGCACCGCTGTGCCCGCTTCACCGAAGGTACCGCCGCGGCTTCCACCACGTCCAACTCGACATCGTCGTCCGCGTCCCGCCGCAACGCGGCCCCAGCTCCCAGGCGAGGCCCCCGCTGCGCTTGCCCTGAGCTCACTGGGGGCCGCCGTGCCGACGTCCAGGCCCTCGGCAGCCGCATGCACGGCGACGTCGCGACGCAGCCGATCGATGTTGCTTGGCGTATGACCCGCCAGCAGGGCGGTTACCGCAGGCGCGCACGCCGCCAGCCGCGCCCCCACCTCGGGTTCGCTGAAGAACGCCTCGATCTGCTCGTTCAGCTGCTTGACCCTCAACTCGGCCGCCGCCAGCTCCTTGACGAGACGAGGTTGTCAGCTGACGCGGCAGCCCGCGCGCGCCGCTGCCGCCGGGCGGCCGCGCTTCGTCCTTCCTCTCGCCACGAAACAGGGGCGAGTCCCGCATCCACCCCCGCCTGCAGCGCGCCACCATCAGCTCCGGACCAGGGGACCATGCCGAGCCGGCCCGAACCGCGGGGGTTGTCCGTTGTGAGCAGGAGGAGGATGAGGAGGAGGAGGAAGATGAGGAGGACGAGGAGGAGAAGGACAAGGACGAGGAGGACAAGGACGAGGAGGAGGACGAGGAGGAGGCGGAGGAGGAGGAGGAGGAGGAGTAGGAGGAGGGGCCCCCCTCCCTGCCGAGTCGCGTCCTTAGGCACATGAGCAGGCGCACGGGCGATTGGAAGGTGCACACTAGGTGGAGTGCATGCTTGAAGACCATCGTCGAGGGCTAGGCTCCTGCTACTACATGTCCGAGTCGGGGAGACAGGACATCGTTTTCTGCGGCTTGATCTTGCCCTGGGAGGCCGAAATCGGTAAAGTTTCTGATCCAGTACCAGGTGACCAAGCAGGTGATGATCAAGAGCATGTGCATGACACTGGGGATGGAGTTTTCAAGAAGGAGCTTCTGGACCAGGACTTACCGATGCCTGAACTTGCTGGAGCAGCTGGTGCTGCCGCTTCTTCGACGGATGGCATCGCCTCGGAGGCGGGTGAAGTTCAGGAGATGCTTCACTTGGGCATGGACCTCAAGCGTATTCTTCTGGGTGCTCGTGAAGGTAGTGGAAGGTCCTCATCGGCGAGGGCGCTCAAGACCTCGTCGACTCATCTTCGCGTTGCCTGGGGTCGGAGCTCTACGCCGTCGAGGTCGGCTCTCGGAGGCTCAGCTCTGGTTGCCCTCACGATACCATTAGACGAGGTGGTGTCCGTCTTCATGTGCATCTACTTGGATCCAGACCTTGTGACAAGGTCTGTGACAATGTCACAGGCATTCCGTGGTGGACCCCGAGGTTGACGTGCCGGTGGGCCTGGTGCGCCCCGTTGCCCCTGGCCGGCCGCCCGTCCCGGGCGCGAGGCCGTCCGGGTGCGATCTACAGCCGGGCCGAGGTCTAAGGTCGAGGTCGATTCGGGGAGGGTGCCCTAGTGTTTGTCGGTCTAAGATCGAGGTCGATTCGGAGAGGGTGCCCTAGTGTTTGTCGGTCTAAGATCGAGGTCGATTCGGGGAGGGTGCCCTAGTGTTTGTCGGTCTAAGATCGAGGTCGATTCGGGGAGGGTGCCCTGATGTTTGTCGGTCTAAGATCGGGGTCGATTCGGGGAGGGTGCCCTGATGTTTGTCGGTCTAAGATCGGGGCCGATTCGGGGAGGGTGCCCTGATGTTCTTCGTGCTTGTTGGAGGCTCTTGTGCATCCTGGGGAGGCTGCCCTCGGATGTTCGGCGTGCTCTGGCGCCGGCGGGGGGCCTCGTGTTCTCGGAGGCTGCTCTTCTGGCCTCGGTCCGACTGTGCAGCACAAGGAAGACTTGGCTTCTACAGCGTAGTTTGGTCCCCCCCCCCGCGGGGGAGGGGGAAGACGGCAGCGTCAGGGTGATACACGTTTGCCACCGGCCCCCAATTCCCAGGAGAGGAGGAGGAGGAGGAGGAGGAGGAGGAGGAGGAGGAGGAGGAGGAGGAGGAGGAGGAGGAGGAGGAGGACGAGAAGGACGAGGAGGAGGAGATCGATCGATCGGCTCTGCAGAGGGGTGCCGACCGTTCGTACTACTACTGAGGCTGCGGCAGTGCGGCTCTCCTCCAGAGCGCGCCTTGGCTCCACGAGGGGGCCAAGCATGGCTTCAAGCACTTTTGCTCCCACCCCCCTCCCTATCTCGAGGAGGAGAAGGAGGAGGACCAGTGTAAACCCAAGAGGCATAAATGATGTTGCGCGAAGTTCTCCCTCCACGACCCCGCTTCACAGGTCCCCACAATGACCTTATATTGCGGGAAGTGCCCCATTGAAAGACAACCGTTTGGGAGCCCTCAATCGTGGCGAAACACAGTTCTTGGGACTTCAACGCCGCGAATCAACAGGACTGTTACGTCCTGACAGTCCTCAATCGTGCCAGAACACCACTGTTGGGACTTCAGCCCTACATGCGAATCTTTGAAACCGCTGCAGAATTTCAAGACGAACGCGCGGCGCTGAGGCGAGAGCCACACACTGAAAAGGAGCCGCTCTCCGTCTTCTTTGCAAGCGCTGCAAAGTTTTTCAAGATGAAGGGCGAGGCGCGAAGACGAACACCACATCTTGAGAACCAAACCGCCCTCAATATTTGACGCTGCGCTGCTGCAAATTCCATGCTTCGGGATCGTAGAAGGTGAGGAAGTCTCCGGCGAAACGCCCAGCCCTCTCCACCGAACCGTCTGGGAGATTGCGGCCGTGCGGCGTTATGTCTGGAAGGAACAGGGAACGGAGGAAGGAGGAACGTGGAACGGTCTCGAGCAGGAGGGGAGGGCCAACCCAGAGAGCCGGCCCCAGGACGAGATCACGCGGCTCAAGATGAAGCTCGCCGAGCGCGGCGGCGGCGGGGGCGGGGGTGGGGCAGGCGGCGGCGCCGGGGGCGACCAAGAGGCCGCCTGGCGCCTGCTTCTCTTCCACCGGGGGGGGGGGCCGAGGAGGAGGAGGGAGGAGGAGGGAGGAGGAGGAGGAGGAGGAGGAGGAGGTGGAGGAGGAGGTTCGCGCATGTTCGAGCCTCTGCCCAGCACGGGAGCTGTGCAACAGCAGCGCCTGTGGTGCTGTGTGGTCGCCCCTCCGAGCGGCCATCAGTTCCAGCCCCAGATGGGGGTCGGGGGTGGACAGATCCCCCAACAGCGACACGTCGATCACATAGTGAATTGTCCGTTCACGGTTCTCGAGAGGGCGCCGCGGCCGTTATTTTCCAGGCTTGCGCCCGCCAGGTTTGGGCCTCAGGTCGTTTTCACTAAACCGCGTTTTGCTAAAGGGGGTTCTGTCCATCCCCGAATCGCTGGATGCGATGCGATAGCAGCGGCTTGCGCGCTCCGGTCCGCCCCCGCCGCGCCCCCCGAAAGTCGCGCACCAGAGGTCACCCTTGCCTGGAGTCGCTCTTGCGTGTAGCCGAGACTGGCCAGTGCTGGTCCATCGGATGAGATGTCTCGTGAGATTCTTCCACGTTCCTAAAGGGGGGTCTGTCCAGCCCCGAGGGGGAGTCGGGGCTGGACAGAACCCCCAATAGTGACACGTCGATTAGTGAATTGTCCGTTTTCGGTTCTCGAGAGGGCGCCGTGGCCGTCAGTTTCCAGGCTTTCGCCCGCCAGATTTGGGCCCGAGGTCGTTTTCACTAAACCACGTTTTGCTAAAGGGGGTTCTGTCCATCCCCGAATCGCTGGATGCGATGCGATAGCAGCGGCTTGCGCGCTCCGGTCCGCCCCCGCCGCGCCCCCCGAAAGTCGCGCACCAGAGGTCACCCTTGCCTGGAGTCGCTCTTGCGTGTAGCCGAGACTGGCCAGTGCTGGTCCATCGGATGAGATGTCTCGTGAGATTCTTCCACGTTCCTAAATCGGGGGAGCGTAAGACCCGGGTTTGCCGGGACTCGGGTTCGCCACCGTTTTTTGACGACCGCGACTCGGATTGTGACGAGGAGGAGTTTCGTGGGATGTCTGCAGCGGGAGGCCTCGTCAAAATGCAGGCTCGGCCTCGTCATTTTTTTGACGACCTCGTCGGGGATTTCCGAGTCTCCCGTACCCGGGTCTTACGTCCCCCTGACTAAAGGGGGGTCTGTCCAGCCCCGAGGGGGAGGCGCCGCGCCCGCGCCCTGCGCGGCAGGGGGGGGGGGGGGGCCCGTCCGAGGGCGCTCGCAGCAGCAGCAGCAGCACGAGGAGCACTGCGACGTGCTGGCTGCGGCGTGTGTGCGCAGACGCGCTCCTGCGAGCGCGAGAGCCCCCCCCCCCCTGGGGGACTGAACTTAAGTCGGGGCCTGTCCCCCTACAGGGGGAATGTTCCAAGATAGCTTAACAAAGATACTCCGGGGGCCATTTTGTGAGCATGGTTCGACCATGTTGGGAGTATGTTTGGGGTATTGCTTATTTTTCGTCGAAGATCCCCCTGTAGGGGGGGACACGCCCGACTTGAGACTAAACTTGAGCACGCCCTCAGTGGAGCGCTCGAAGAAAAATACGAAGGGAGTGCCCCCCTGTGTCGCCTCGACGCCACGTGTCACCGACCACGAATGTTACGAACACGGGTAACATATTGCACGCGTTACCACTGGCGGTAGTTGGGACAGGCTGTAACATATCACCACGCGTTACCACTGGCGGTGACATATTGCACGCGTTAAGACAAGCCAGGCTCTAAACAATTTGTTTGCGTCCTGTCATTCTGCATGTTAGACTGCCTGCAGCGGTTATCGCTCAAGCCGTCGGACAGAGAAAAGGCAGCACCCTCGTTCCAACCATCATGTGTGTACCGAGGGAGAGGAGGAACGGGGCAGAACGGTGGAGGCTGGCTGGGCCATCCGCAGAGTGCTTTCGTGAGGCGGCGTAAAAATTGTAGACTCTCTGCGTGCTCTCGCTCGTGCCCTTGCGTGCACGGGCAGCGATTGGCAACAGCAGCGAGGCCTTCTTCCACGGCCTCTTCCCTGCGGCTCCTCGGCGGAGCAGGGAAAGCCCCTGCCCACGCAGCTCTTCGCTCCCCGCTGGGTGCCTCTTTCCGGCCCCTCGGGGGAAAGGTGAGCCCCTTGCGCCGCCTCCTCTGCGCCACCCCGGGTCAAAATTTAACAGCCCCCCGTGCAAGAGCAGCTGCAGCGGGTGCGGAGGAGAGAACGCTAGCGCGGGAGCCAGCAAGGAACGAGGATGAGGAGGAGGAGGAGGAAGAAGAGGAGGGGGAGGGGGAGAGGGATGATGATGATGATGATGATGATGATGATGATGATGATGATGATGATGATGATGATGATGACGATGACGATGACGATGACGATTCATATGATGATGATGATGATGATGATGATGATGATGATGATGGTGGTGGTGGTGGTGATGATGATGATGATGATGATGATGATGATGCTGCTGCTGCTGATGATGATGATGATCGATGATGATGGGCGATTATGATGATGGTGGTGGTGGTGACGATGATGGTAATGTTGATCATGATGATGATGACGATGACGATGACGATGATGATTATGATGATGATACTAATGATGCTGTTGATGATGTTGATGCTGATGCTGCTGATGATGATGGTGGTGATGATGACGATGCTGATGTGATGACGACGACGAGGATTCTGATGATGGCGGTGGTGGTGATGATGGTGATGGCGCTGGTGCTGATGATGATCTCGATGACGCTGATGATTGTGCTGATGATTATCATGTTGTTGGCGATGATGGTGCTGATGATGCTGCTGCTGCTGCTGATGATGATGATGATGATGATCATGATGTTGCTGATAATGCTGACGATGCTGATGATGCTGGTGATGCTGCTGCTGCTGCTGCTGATGATGATGATGACGATGATGATGATGATGATGATGATGATGATGATGATGATGATGATGATGATGATGATGATGATGATGATGAGGAGAGGGATTCCAGGGATTCTGCCATCGCGTAGCGGTAAATGAAAAGACGCCTCACCTGCTATCGCGTGTTGCGAGATGAATGCCGACACGACGTAGAACCCAGAGCTGGACGGACACGGACACTGGCCTAAGGACCTCCACGGATGACCATGTTCATTCACTCCGTTGAGGACGCCATTCCGCACAGGGAGACACAACTGAACCAATTGAGCGCGTAGCTGTGCTGAGCGCCGAGCGGGATGACGAGGTCCTGCAACCACAGGCGCCCCAGACCAACACTATGCACAGAAGGCTGTATCTAGAGCATGCCAAACCCAAAAAACACACTGCCTGCACAACCCAATTGGCCAATTGAAAAAAAACGGACCCATGTCGACATTGCAGCCGAGAAGATGCCGACGGGCCGCCATTGCGCTGCCCATCAGTAGCACGCCCAAGCGACAGGCGGGTGGGTAATTGCCACAAGGGCGCCGAGAAGCCGCCCCAACCCGCCGTCTGGGACTGAAGCCGATGAAGAAGTGCAGGAAGAAACCATCCCAAGATGACGGTACAGAACAAACATGATGGACCCACGAACCCGGAAAGGGATAAAGACATGTGCAGCATGGTCACGTTTTCACGATACCCAACTGGGCGACATCTCACGAAACATCCCACGAGACACCCCGCGAAACATCCCACGAGACACCTCACGAAACATTCCACGAGACACCTCACGAAACATTCCACGAGACACCCTTTGAAACATTCCACGAGACACCCCACGAACAGGCAACCACTCAACCAGACACGCCACGAAACATTCCACGGGGGTGCGACTGGGTGTGGTCGTGCTGGGGTGTGGTCGTGCTGGGGTGTGGTCGTGCTGGGGAGTGGTCGTGCTGGGGTGTGGTCGTGCTGGGGTGTGGTCGTGCTGGGGGGTGGTCGTGCTGGGGGGGTGGTCGTGCTGGGGGGTGGTCGTGCTGGGGCGTGGTCGTGCTGGGGCGTGGTCGTGCTGGGGCGTGGTCGTGCTGGGGCGTGGTCGTGCTGTGGTGAGGTCGTGCTGGGGTGTGGTCGTGCTGGGGTGTGGTCTTGCTGGGGTAGGGTCGTGCTGGGGTCGGGTCGTGCTGGGGTGTGGTCGTGCTGGGGTATGGTCGTGCTGGGGTGGGGTCGTGCTGGGGTGGGGTCGTGCTGGGGTCTGGTCGTGCTGGGGTGTGGTCGTGCTGGGGTATGGTCGTGCTAGGGTGGGGTCGTGCATTTCGCTCGAGACATCCTGCCAAAATTCCAGGAAATCGTGCAAAAACAAACGAATTAGTCGAGACATCATCGAAATTCCTTCGCGCGGGGCGCTTTTCCGCGTCGCGGTCGGCTCTGCAAAACAAGCGTTTCGCTCGAGACATCCTCGGCAAACTCTGCGGAGCAAGCGTTTCGCTCGAGACATCCTCAACACACGAAAAAGTGGCCCGCACCCTGTGATTTATCGATCGGGATTTCAAAAACAAGCGTTTCGCTCGAGACATCCTCAAATTTTAATTCGCCGGCCTCCTTCGACCTCGTTATTTATCAGGGAAAAAATTCGCCGGCCTCCTTCAAGCAGGCACCGGGGGACATGTTTACATACTAAAAGAGAACCCTGGGCTCAGGCCCTTTCCGGGAACAAATTCTGAAAAACAAGCGTTTCGCTCGAGACATCCTCGACAAATTCTGAAAAACAAGCGTTTCGCTCGAGATATCCTTAAATTTTAATTCGCCGGCAATTCGCCGGCCTCCTTCAACCTCGTTATTTATCAGGGAAAAAATTCGCGGGCAATTCGCCGGCCTCCTTCAAGCAGGCACCGGGGGACTAGTTTACAAACTAAAAGAGAACCCTGGGCCGGAGCCCTTTCCGGGAAAAAGGGGACGCCGAAACTACCAGGAACAAAGTGAACGCGGTACCTTCATGCAACAGTGGAATCATTACCTTGTAAACTATGAAGGCGCACATGTGAACCACCATTGCAGTGAAAGAAATCGCACTGAAAACCAGCCTGCTCAACA